GCTCAATGTTATGTAGCAGCAGGATAGGAAGGGAGTCTGGGGGAGAAAAGATATATGTATATGTATGGCTGAGTCCCTTTTGTCAACCTGAAACTATTACAACACTGTTAATTGGCTATACTCCAATATAAAATAAAAAAATTAAAAAAGTCACTTGTGCTCATTGTAGACAAATTTGTCAATATAGAGAAGTATCAAGAAAATAAAGATTCCCAAGTCCCACTAACAAGATGCCATCTTGGTACAGCAGACTTCAGTCTTTTTTTTTTTCCTATATTTTCAAAATTATACACTTGAGATGATAAGGTTCTATGGACAGAACTATGTCACAATTCATAAGTTGAAGCCCTCATCCCTAATGTAATGGCATTTTTTAGATGGAGTCTTTGGGAGGTGATTAGGGTTATAGGAGGTCATGAGAGTGGGACCCCTATGATGGGATTAGTGTCCTTATAAAAAGAGATCCCAGAGAGCTTGTTCTCTCTCCCCCTCACCATGAGCGGGCACAGTGAGAAGGCAGCCATCTGCAAGCAGGAAGAGGGCCCTTGCCAGAACTGGACCATGCTGGCACCCTGATCTCGGACTTCCAGTTTCCAGGACTATGAGAAAGCACACTTTTGTTGTCTAAGCTGCCCTGTCTATGGTATTTTGCAATGTCAGCCTGAGCCCATCTGTCAGTGCAGGAGACCTAAGAGACACTGGTTCGATCCCTGGGTCAGGAAGATCCCCTGAAGGAGGGCCTGGCAACCCATTCCAGTATTTTTGCCTGGAGAATCCCATGGACAGAGGAGCCTGGTGGGTTACAGTCCATAGGGTCACAAAGAGTTGGACACAACTGAAGTGACTTAGCATAGCATGTACACCTTGGTTCTTTTTAAAAGAAATCAGTTCCCCTTACTTGTCATTATATATGGTGAGCATTTCCCTGAGTCCTTAAATATTCTCCCAACAGATGATTTTTAATGACGACATGATACTCCATCATATGGAGGGACCATACGGTATTTAACCAGTTGCTTCCAGTTTTGTTCTATTTTTACAGATAATGCTGGGGTGCACATCCTGATATAAATCTTCGACAGTGTTTCTGATTACTTAAGGTTAGGCTTTTTCTAAAAGCACTTTAACTGGGAAATCAAGTGGGAAAGAAAAGAGATAAATTGAAAAATGGAAAAACCTGGACGGGGCCCCAACACACCATGAGGTGAGCTGCTGTTCCCTCAGCCAAGAACGTTCTTCTCCAAGACATCTGCTTGGCCCTCTTCTCTGTGGAAATGTCCCCTCCTCTGAGAAGCCCTCCCTGATTGCCTGACCTAAACTGGCCCCTGAACCCCATTGCTTGCCCTCTCATGATGCTGTTGTCCTCACGGGACAACAGGTCAAGTCACCACGTCCCACGTGATACATTTGCTTAAGGTCTATCTTCCACATTCTGAGTAATTTATTATTTATCAGCGTTTATTGGTCATGTCTGTCTCCCCGACGAGGGTGGAGATTTTTGTCTCTCTTCTTCATTGTGCTACCCCTGATCACCTGATCATTTCCTGGCACAGAGTGGACATTCAGTAAGTAATTATGGGATTTCTCTAGTGGTCTACGGTTGAGAATCCCCCTGCTAATGTAGAGGACATGGGTTCAATCCCATGGTCCAGGAATCCTGGTCCATGTCACATACCATGGGACAACTAAGCCCGTGTGCCACAAGTACTGAGCCTGCGTGCCCTAGAGCCTGTGCTCTGCAACAAGAGAAACCACCGCAATAAGAAACCCAGGCACCACAGCTAGAGAGCAACCCCCACTCACCACAGCTAGAGAAAACACGAGTGCAGCGACAAAGACCCAGTTTGGCTGAAAATAAATAAATTAATTAAGTTTTAAAAATAATAATTAAAAATAAGTAATTATGGAATAAACAAATGGATTTCAATGTTGAGAAAAGAAAAGAGATGTTTGGCCTCCACGCCTGTGGATTCTAAAATGCTTGAAGCAGGTGCTTCCGGACTCTCCCATGGATCTCGCCTGACAGTGGCTGGTAAGGCCATGCCCACGGGCTTGGCTCCAGCACAAGATAAAGGACAAAGAGTCCGGACACTGCGCCTGCCTGTGGCTGGATGGAGCTAGGGGTGTCCTAGGGCAGGCCTGGCAGATGGCAGAGCACATGGGCAGGGCTCAGATGAGTCTGGAAAAGCTCTGTCTCCGCTAAGCAGAAACTCAAAGATGCCACCTTAGCTTCTGTCCTTACCAATGAGTGATCCTAGTGGTTGTATTTTGGGTTGAGGTGCTGTCTTTTCTTTTCTTTTTTTTATAAATTTACTTTCAATTGAAGTACAATTGCTTCACAATGTTCGTTAGTTTCTGCTGTATGACAACAAGAATCAGCTATAAGTATATATATATCCCCTCCCTCTTAAGGGGGTCCCCACCCTCCCACGGGGGGTGGACTGGCTTAATTTAGGAAGTCCCAGACAAGGGTTCAAGTACAAGTAGTTTATTTGGGAGATTTACGAACTGAATTATGCAATTCCCCCTCACCAACCCCCCAGCCAAGATAAGTTGAAGATCTAACCTCCACGACCTCAGGATGTGACCTTATTTAGAAATAAGCTCGAACTTCCCTGGTGGTCCAGTGGTTAAGAATCCACCTTCCAATGCAGGGAACACAGGCTTGATCCCTGGTCCTGAAAGATTCCATATGTCACGGGGCAATGAGCCCAAAGGCCAGCCTTCCTGCTCCAGAGCCTGTGCTACAGAACTAGAGAAGCCACAGCACTGCAACTAGGGAAAGCCTGCTCGTGGCAGCACAGACCCAGCGCAGCCAGCCAAAAAATCACATAAGAAAAAAAATTTTTTTTTAAAAGAAAAATAGGGTCATTACAGATGTAATTAGTTAAGATGACATTGTACTGGATTAGGGTGGGCCCTAATCCAACAGGGTAAGTGTCCTTAAGAGAAGATGGCTGTGTGCAGATGGGATATTCAAGAGGAGGACAGAGAATCAATAAGCCAAAGAATGCCAAGGATGGTTGGCAGCCACCGGAAGCTGGGAGAGGCAAGGAAGACTTCTCCCTGAGAGCCTTTGGAGGGTGCCTGGCCCTGCTAACACCTTCTGGCCTCCATACTGTAAGATAATGAATGTCTGTTGTTTTAAGCCACCCAGTGTGGTACTTTATTACTGCTCTTGGCTCACATCAGGCTCAAATTCCTGCTCGGGTTTCCACCAAAATATGACGGTGGGATATAACTGCATGGCAAGTTCTAGAAGGCTACTCTGTGGCAGTTACCAGTGGGGTGAGAGCGGGGAACAAAGTGGGACCCAGTGGTTCACCTCACTTCCTCAGGTGCTGCCAGACTTTTCACAATGAAAAATTCATACATTTCTAAAAGGAGTGCCTGTTGGGGTGGAAAATTTGGCTTACAGAGAGCTTACCTAGGGCCATGGTTCTAAACGCTTCACATATATTCACCTTACTCAGTCCTTGTGCCCTGTGAGGTAGGATTGTGCTTTTCATTTTGCACATGTGGAAACAGAGACACAAAGAGTGTAAGCGACTTGCCCAAGGTTGCACAGCATGGAAGTGGTGGGGTCGGGAGGGGAAGCCAGGCAGCCTGATGCCTAACTCTGCTCTTTCAACTGTTTCCCCTGAGCTTGAGTCTCTCAAGGTGGTTCAGCTCAAAGCTTCCAGAGTAAGAATCTCCTCAGACAGTGGTGCTTCCGACTATAGAACCCTCTGGAAATCTGTGGTCCTGCTCACACTTCCTCATCCACCACTGAGCACATTCCCATTGGTCTTCCTCTGAACCTCTTTCTGGATGTCCAACCCCATGACACAACCTGACCCAAGAAAGCTCCTGACGATCTCAAAGTTGCTGTCTGTTCCTAGAGATGCCATGCTCAGGCCAGGTCATTAGGCAAAGTCAAAGCCACCATGGCTTTTCCCCACATCCTTTAGATTTGTCTAATGGAAATATGGACATAATGGTAGAAATCTATGTGGTCTATAATATGACTCCCACTCCCAAGATGTGGAGACTTGTGCAGTGTGTGACATGTGTAACTGTCCAGGGATGGGGGACAGGAAACAGGGTAGAAGGGGAGGCAGGTAGGAGTGTACATCTTTTCAGACCTGTCCTTAACAATTTCAAGACTGAGGGCAAGAGAACCAACTGAGGCCCACATAATATGTGTGAATATTTAAAAACTACTAAATAAAACATGCTCTATGCTTCTCCTGCACAAACATACCTTCATAAGCACTGGGAAGGTCAGTCTAGAATTTAGAATCTGGATGTCTGCACTGGGTTAAGGGGTGCGGACAGGGTTCCCTGCCCCTTGACCATGGCCTGCCACCTGGGGGCAGGGGAGGGAGGGCTCCACACACACATGCCTGGACGTGCCAATCTGCATGTCCATATTCCAGCCACATTTGTGCCAACAGCTACCCCAAGGACATTGTTAGACCTCAGGGGATACAATGGGTAAGGTAGTCAGACAATAGACTCACGGAAGAATCCAAGTTCATGGGCTCTGGGCTTGGGCAGGGAATTTTAGGATCTCAGATGACCTAAAATATGATCTAGAAAGTGGAGGGGTGGTGGCACCAGCTCCCATCAGCACCATAGCGAGGGGCACAGCTGGAGGAGGGTCAGCAAGAGCTCCAGCGCAGAATCCCTTTGGATAGGTGTCCAAGACATGCCTCTATCTTTCCTCTACGTTGGTTTTTAACCTCATGCAACCCTTTACATATTCAAAAATCTAAAATTATATTTAAAAACTCGTGCAATTAAAAATTATTCAGCATCTGTGTGCCCTCTAGATTCTCACCTCCTGAAGGTCCTTCCCTATTAAGAGTTCTGAGGACAAGACCCCCATATCATCAAAGGACGGAGCCTTAGGCTGGCTCTCCTGGGGCCATATTGAGCTGTCTCCCTGGTTCAGGGTCCCTCCACTTCAGCCTCAGGAGTTGGCTGGGCCTGGCTCTCCACCACCCCTCATCACTTACGTTGTAGAGGAGGTCAGTCCACCCTTCCATGGTGATGCACTGGAAAACAGTCAGCACTGCAAACAGGATGTTGTCGAACTGAGTGATCCCATTGTTGGGCCCTTCCCAGTAGGGCTGACATTTGGTCCCATTGGGGCAGGTGCGGGCAGGTTCCTCTGTCCCACACGGTGCTGGAGACTCACCCTGAATGTCATCTATGAAATGGAAGAGGAGAAAAGTCAGGGGAAAGGGCCAGCAAAATCAGCTCTGAGAAACAGGAGCCAGTGAACATCCAATGCTGTTGAATCTGCAGAAAAATGGCTCTTAGGATGGATTTATCAGTCTTTTTCCAAAAAGTCCAATGCTTGGCTTGGTTGATCTATTCATTGTTTTCTATTTCATTAATTTGTTCTCTAAGCTGTGTTCCCTTTCCTGTTCTTTTCCTAAACTTTTGAGATAGATTAATGTTACTTAAGGCTATAAATTGCCCTTTTAGTGCAGCTTTAACTGCACCTCACAAATTCTGTCATGCACTGTTATCATTATTGTTCAAGTAAATTATTATTTATTTTAATATAAATTATTCATTATTATTTCTTCTTTGATTTGTGGATAACCAAGAAGCAGCAAAAATTTGTCAGATATATACAAAAATAGAGTAATGTAATGAATTTCCATGTACCCATCACCAATTTCAACATTTATCAACTCAGGGCTAATTTTGTTTCATCCACATCCCCTCCCCGCATTAAAATATTTTTAAAGCAAATCTCAGACATCCTAGCATTTCATGAACAAATAAGAAGCATGTCTCTTAATTTCCAAACACTTTCAGTGTTATCTTTTTGTTACCAATTTCTAGCCTAATTGAACTGTGGTCAAGAGGATATGTTTTGTATTATTCTGTCCTTTGAAATCTGTTGAGATGAACTTTAAGGTCCCAACAACAGTCAACTTTGGTAAATCTGCTGTGTGCATTTTGAAGTGATTGGGGGCAGTGTTCTCCAGATTTCCATTAGCACAAATTTGTCAACTGTGGTGTATTATTCTTCTGTAGCCTGACTGATTTTTTTTCTTGAGATGTACTGGGCTCAGGGAGTGGGGGCGAGGGAGGCCAGTACACACAGTACTCAACCTTCGGCACAGGAACTAAGCTTTCTCCCCAAATAGCAAGAGGCAGATTGTGAAAATGCCACAAGGAAAGAGACACATGTCAATGGACACCTCTTTTGCTGGAAACCAGAGACAGCTTCCTGGCAAACTCAGACTGAGTGATAAAGGTTGAGTCTGAATTCTAAGGTGATGCCTTCATGAGGACATGGAATCAGGGGAGTACAGAACATCCTGGGTGTGTATAGAACATCCCATTGGACCAGAGCCACAGATATGAGAGGATCCTGTTCAGTGAGTGACACTTTTGAAGGTTTTTAGAGAGTGACATTGTCCGATAAGAAATCAAACAGCTGTGTAAACTCAAGTTCCCCACTAAACAAAAATATCTCAATGCACATGCTACATATAGGGTTTGCAGCCCATTTTTACCTCCACTTAGCAAGAAACAGGGAGAAATAAGCCAACACAGAATGTGTGAATCTTACTGGCCTTTGAGACTCCTGTTAAATAGAAACTCTAGGCCATGCAAAATGACATTTGCCATATCAGAAGGGACACCTACAACTCAAGAAGCATTGGCATCCCATTCACTAGTTTAAGTTGTGGGAAATACTTTTCCCTTTCATGTCAGACTTGGTATAGCGGCTGATTTAATGAATACAGATTGGAAGGCAAAATCTTTTAAACATAAGACTCGGGGCAAAAGGGAAAATTCCATGGGCTCCTATCATGAATGAGAACCACGGCTTGCTGGGAAGGTTGCCTCTGTCCAAAACCTTCTCCATTTTCACCTTCTGTCCAAGTCTGGCTCAATTCCCATCCACCAACACCGTCCCCTCTCTTGGGTTAGTCCAGTCTACTGGTCCCTTTTTTCCCCCCTCGGGGGTACAACAGCTCCCAAATGTTCACAGTTGGTGAGGAGATAAAAGCAGGCGTTAACCTGCACTGCTATAGACTAGTTCCAGATGAGGAGTCTTGTTTCCTCAAACTATTTTGGAAGCTCTTGGAAAACAGGAAGCTCTCCCACCTTTCCTTTGCATTTCTCTGGGTGTTTAGCACAGTGCTGGGCACCCCTAGCCCACTGGTGTTCCTGATTGTGACCTGCCAGCCCCCTCATCACGAAACCCTCTGGGGGCTGCTTCTAGAAAAGCCACCATCCAGAGAGTCTGAGGAATTTGGTTATAAATATATTTTAAAATTAACCTGCTGCCTGGGTGTCTGTATATATCTGTCTCTTACTCACACATTCTTATATTTTTAATTGTGAGCTTTTCAGTCATCTTTCCTAAATCAAGGCTTCCTACCCTCCAGTTGCCCCACCCACGTCTGTCCCCTTTCAACCCTGATTTAGACTCAAGCCAGTCCTCTGTCCCCTTGGCTGGAGAGAGAGATAGAGAGAGAACCAACAAAAACAAAAAACCCAGGATCCAGGAGTTCTGGTTTCTCTGCTCTCGGCTGATGTTTCCAAGGGGCCCTGCCCTGCATCTCTCCCTCCAGCATTTCCGCCCAGGTGTTGAGGCCAGGAGCAGAAATAGCTCTGCCTCAATTAACACCTTCTTCATTGGGGAAAGAAATAATTAGGACATCCCATATTGAGCAAACTTCACAAGCCCAGGAGAGAAGGAGATGGGAGGAGCAAGAAGAAAGGAAGCAAAAAAAAAAAAAAAAAGCCTCTGGAATAAACCTTCCTTACTGGGTTTTCCTGCCCTCTGGGAGGTCTGGGGAGAGGGTTCGGTTACCTGGGGGTCACCAGGAAGAGAAGGTGGATGGGAAGCCACTCCAGGACAGAATTATCTTCCCAATAAGGCAGGCCTGAAACCTTCCCTTCTCAGACAGGCTCCCCTGTCTCCATTCACAGTTTCCTTGACCCACGACTAACGCTGTCATTTAGCCCATCCACAATGAGGAGGCCCATGGTCCAAGTATTGAAATACAGGCTTCCCTGTTATTTGATTTCATTTGGCTCTTTGGCTTCAGAGAGCAAGTAGCCAGGTTTGCATAGCAGGGGACTTAATCAAAGATGAATGTGGAAGCTATTAGGTCCCTGAGTATATGGATAGCTAGGGACACCCAGGCTGTTTCACTGCTGTTTCAGAGACTAAATCTGTGACTTCTGGTTTTCCTGGTTTTTTTCCTGAGTCATCTTCCCCCATCCTTTCTTGCTGATGTTGTTGTTTAGGTCGTGTCCAACTCTTTTGTGATCCCATGAACTGTAGCCTGCCAGCCTCTTCTGTCCATGTGATTTCCCAGGCAAGAACACTGGAGTGGGTTGCCATTTCCTTCTCCAGGGGATCTTACAGGACCAGGGATTAAACCCATGTCTCCTGTATTGGCAGATGGCTTCTTTAACACTTGAACCACCAGGGAAGCTGCTAAGCTAAGGGGTTGACCGTGGCACAGTGTGGGGAGGGGAGGAGCCAAGATCTTATTTGTGCTTGATGCTGATTGGTTGGTGCCAGACTCCCAGTGGGATGTCTTTAAGACATCTTCTTGGGGAGACTAGGAGTCACCCTCAACTCTCCCTTCCTACAGGGTAAGGAGGTTTCAGGCTTCTCTGGCAGCTCAGTGGTAAAGAATCCGCCTGCCAATGCAGGAGATGCAGGTTGGATTCCTGGGTCAGGAAGACCCTCTGGAGAAGGAGATGGCAACCTACTCCAGTATTCTTGTCTGGGAAATCCCATGGACTGAGGGGCCTGGCAGGCTACAGTCCATGTTATCGCCAAGAGTTGGACATGACTTAGTAACTAAACAACAACAGCAAGGAGGTTCAGAACTCAGTACATGCTAGGGTCTGGGGTCGCTGCAAGGTAGCTAGACAGAGGCTGTAGGTACTGAATTTACATTCTGCTGTCTTTTGCCCCTACACGTTCCCACTGAAAATATCTTTGATGCCTGCTCCTGCCCAGTGTTTGGGGCAGCCAGCTGTGCCAGGGCATTAATGTCCAGCCTGGGCTCAATCCCCGCCAATGTCGGACAGAATTTGGTGGATAAATACCCAGGTCCCTCGCCCCTCGTGTGGGATGGGTCTAAGGCGAATGACTTACCCTGTTTCCTCCAGGTGCCCAATGGAGCTGAGGTCTGGTAACCTTGCCCAAGATGGTAACCTACTTGATAACGTCCCTAGATGTTACTAGATCCTCCCTGTCTCACTTTCTCACTCACCTGAAGGTGTTTCCTGGGATCACTTCCCCAATAAACCACTTACCCTGGGACAGCTTCTCAGGTACCCCAGTGTAACATCCAGCAACAACCAAGATCCCTGGGGCTGTTTCAGCCCCTGCCTTGGCTTCTGGAAGATATTCTCCCAGCTTCCAGGAGAGAGAAGCAAAGCCCTGCAGACCTTGTCCAGGAGCTTGTCCCCAAGGGGAGAAAAGAAAGGGGAGGAAGGCTGGAAAGCAAAAAATCTATGATGCTGCTTGGACCTACCTGTGCCCTCTTCAAAGCAGGTGGTATGAAATTTTCCCATATAAAATTCTAACCCTATGATTGCAAAAATAAGGATTGCAAAAAATAGGAGGAGGCCGATCTGCAGCAGGGGGATCATTGCCTTCATGATCGACTTCAGGACGACTTGTAAACCTGGGGAGACACAGAGAGAGAGAGGCCCCAGAGGCCTGTGAGAAGGTCCCCTGAAACGCTGCCCCCAGGATGCCTCCTAAGGAGACTCAGAGAACGTGGGGTGCGGGGGACAGGGCAAGGGTGAGGGGAGACGGATGGAAGACATGCAGGCTGCTCATTTTAATAAAAGGAACAATCCTTCCTTATATTTTAAGCACTTTTTTTTTTTTTTTTGGTTTTCTTTTGGCCACACCGTTTGGTTTGCAGGATCTTAGCTCCCTGGCCAGGGACTGAACCTGGGAACATGGCAGTGAAATCACTGAGTTCTAACCACTGGAAATTCCCCATTTTTTGATTTAAAAAATATTTTTTAAAGTACTGGGCATAGGCTGTCCTGTTTGATGACTTTTGGGGCAGGTAAGAGGTGGAAGTTCAAAGCTTTCTGAGCCCTATTCTTGGGTATTGCACAATTTTCATTCAGATCAGGGTGCCTTTTTCTAACCTTTTTCCACCAAGAGGGGGAATCTCTTTCCTAATTCATACAATGCCATATGCATTAGTTGCAGCTCGGCCTAGGAAAGCAGTCAATGTCCTAGTCCCAACCCTGAGAAACACTGGCTTTTAGATGAGGCAGGCACATGTGTAAAATTATCCCCATTTTACAGAGGTGGGAAGCAAAGCTCAGAGGATGCCATGCTTAAAATGAGGATTCAGCCTCAAGGTGTGAGAAATAACAGGGCCAGGATTCGAACCCAGGTTGGAATTGAGGTCAAATCCCATGTCTGTAACCAACCTTTAGGAAAGTCTATGTTAAAATGCTCCCAAGTGGTTCAACAGTAAAGAATCTGCCTGCCAATGCAGGAGACACAGGTTTGATCCCTGGTCACAAAAGAGTTGGACATAACTTAGTGACTAAACAACACCAAATAATGTGGTTAAAATGAGGATTTCTTGTTTTATGTCCTTGGATACTCTTCAGTGTCTCCCAGTTTATAGTCTATGAGAACCTGAATATAATTCGTATCCTACTGTTGGGTGAAAACTATATAAATCTTAATTATGTTGAATTGGTTTTCTAGTACTTTTCAGGTCTACTGTATCCTTCTACTTTTCTATATATTCATTCTATTAATCTTTGAGAGTTTAATATTGAAATTCCAACTAAAAATCTTAATTTATCAGGCTCTTCATCTGTAAATGGGGAGGAGACCGAGCACCTCCCTCTCAGGATTAAATAAGAGGGTTCACACCTGGCAAAGCCCTTGGCATATCATAGATGGTCATTAAACAGAGATTCTTGTTAGTATCAGCTTTGGGATGGAACTTGATTTAACATGACGTGAGCACCTCTGGTCTCTTGAAGAGAAGACTCTTGAGAGTCCCTTGCACAGCAAGAAAATCAAACCAGTCAATCTTAAAGGAAATCAACCCTGAATATTCATTGGAATGACTGATGCTGAAGCTCCAATACTTTGGCCACCTGATGCAAAGAGCCATCACATTGGTAAAGACTCTGATGTTGGGAAAGACTGAAGGCAAAAGAAGAAGGGGGCGACAGAGGATGAGATGGTTGGATGGTATCACTGACTCAATGGCCATGAGTTTGAGCAAACTTCAGGAGACAGTGAAGGACAGGGAAGCCTGGTGTGCTGCAGTCCGTGGAGTTGGACATGACTGAACGACTGACCAACAGGCACCTGCTGGAATTCTGTGGACACCTGAGCAGAAGTGCCTTCTTTCTACAAAAAGATCCTGCTGGTGGTTATCTGGGAAATCTTAAGTCTTTAAATCTGGATGGCAGTGAACCTGAAGAATGAAGCTAATGAAATGCGAAACGGTGGTAATAACAGACCTACCTCATATGCTTGTTGTGAGGATAAATGAGTTTTTTAAAAATGGCAAATACTACAAGAGTGCTTGATACATTTTAAGTACTTATAAATAAAAATATTAATTATTATTATTAATATATTACTACTACTGCTACTGACCAGTAGAACAGAAAAAGGTTAGCCCTGTTTCTTTCTTTTTTTTTTTTTTTGCAGCTGAACCTAATCCTGATTATGAATAGTACAGCCACCCACAGAGGGTCTGGAGTAGAAGCATTCATCCATTCTTGGAGGATGAGAAAATAGCATGGAATGGGCAGACTTGGGAACTCATTGTGTCAAACTGTGAGAACTCTGGTGAGTCATTTAACCTTTCTAAGTCTCTACCTTTTCATCTATAAAATGGGTTCACTGAGTGATTGTGAGGACAAACTAAGATAATACACAAAAAGCTATTTCTGCCGTGCCTGGTATGTGGTAGGAACTCAATAAATGGTAACCATCATTGCCACCAATATTATTCAGGCTGTGGGGGCATGCTGGCTAACTCCTAATTCTTCCATTCTCAGCCACATGATTTTGCTCAAATTATTCAGCTGCCCTGAGCCTCAGTTTCCTCATCTGTAAAGTGGAGATTTTGGTCCTATCAACTTCACAGGGCTGTGATTATGGAATGGGGTCCTGGGTGGAGCTTAGCATGGCTCCTGATGGAGAAGTGCTCAGTAAATGGGTGCTGTGGGGATGGGTGAGGCTCCTGGCTGGCTTTTAGGAGTTCACCCAGACCTGCAGCCAGATTTCTGGGGGTGGGGGTGGGAGTCCCTGAAGGGGCTTCCCCAAAGATGAGGCTGCCCTGACCCAGGCTAGGGAAGCATCTGAGGGCACCTATGAGACCCTCTTGTAGAAGGGAAATCGAGGGCTCCCAGGACCCCTGAGCAGACCCCTTGCCAGGGTCAGAAACTCACGCACTTGGGATTCCAGACACCAGCTTGAGCGGCCGCAGCACTCGAACTGCCCTCAGCGTCCTTAGGTCAAACTCCGTCCCAACTGTGGCCAAGATGCTGGAAGAAGCCAGAACAGAAAGCAGACGGTGGGTTTCAGGGTCAGAGAGGTGGGTAGGGGGTTCAATGTTGTGGTTTCTTTTTTTTCAAGTTTTTAATTCCAGGATAGCTGCTTTACAATGCTGTGCTAGTTTCTGCTGTGGAACAATGTGAATCAGCCATAATTATATATATAATCAATTATACATATATAATTGATTGACCAAATCAATCTATCCTAAAGGAAATCAGTCCTGAATATTCACTGGAAGGACTGATGCCGAAGCTGAAGCTCCAACACTTTGGCCATCTGATGCAAAGAACTGACTCATTGGAAAAGACTCTGATGCTGGGAAAAATGGAAGGCAGGAGGAGAAGGGGACGACAGAGAATGAGATGGTTGGATGGCATCACCGACTCAACGGACATGAGTTTGAGCAAGCTCCAGGGAGTTGGTGATGGACAGGGAAGCCTGGCGTGCTGCATTCCATGGGGTTGCAAAGAGTTGGACACAACTGAGAGACTGAACTGACTGACTGATACATATATACATATATATGCATATACCCCCACCCTCTTGAGCCTCTCTGCCTGCTCCCATCCCACTCCTCCAGGTCGTCAGAGCACCAGGCTGCTTTCTGGGCAGGGTGACCACAGGTTGGGTCTCAGTTTTATCATAAGTAAAATGGTGTTAATAGTACCTGCTTCACAGGATAAAAGATGACTTACAAAGGCCCCAAATAGGTCTTAATACTCAATAAACGCTTCCCTTGTGTGGCTCAGCTGGTAAAGAATCTGCCTGCAATGTGGGAGTCCTGGGTTTGATCCCTGGGTTGGGAAGATCCCCGGGGAGAAGGGAAAGGCTACCCATTCCAGTATTCTGGCCTGGAGAATTCTATGGACTGTACAGTCCCTGAGGTTGCAAAGAGTCAGATATGACTGAGTAACTTTCACTTCCTTTCACTCAATAAACGTTGGGCTGAGAAGAAGAGAAACTTTTCCCATGGCACATGGTTGGGGAGATACTCAGTATATTTCACAACCCAAGATCAGGATGGATTGTGGGGAAACTTGGAGGCACTAGGGGAGTGACAGACCTTTTGGGCTCAGGTCACTTTACCAACTGGCAAGAAAGTAGCTTAGTACTAAGACCTCAGCTGGCATGGGTTCAAACTCCAGCTCTACCGTTTCCCAGCTGGGTGACTGTGGGTAAGTCACTTTTCCACTTCATGCCTCAGGTCTCCCTTTTGTATAACAAGGATAACAACAGTACTGAACCCTCAAAGGGATGTGAGGATGAAACGAATTAATACATGTGAAGTGGTAGGCATTGTACCTGGCACACAGGAAGTGTGTTAAGCTATTGGGAAATAAATGAAAAAAAAAAAAACAAAAACCAAAACACCTCAAACAATGGGTGTGGTCCTGCTGGGGTGGACTAGCTGGCATCAGCCCCAGAGAGGGCTACAGACCCAAAGTGTCAGGGCAAAAAGTCACTCTTGTAAATGCAGGTAAGAGACATGGCAATAGGTGAGATGAGCCTTCAGTAGAAAGCCCCCTTCCCTCACCCCTCACATAAAGACCCCATCCTAAGACCTCACTTGTTAAAGTGTTTCTGGTGAGACAAGGGGTTCCACAGCCCTTCCTCAGCCCAAGGAACCCCCTAGACCGTTTCCTAAATAAGAAACATAGTAGGGATGACCATGGAACCACAGCACAGAAAAGGTTGTCACTGGAATCTCAGATGATGAGCATGGAATGCTGAAAAACAGAGGATTCTGTGGTTAAGAACGGGCTTCCCAGGTGGCACAGTGGTAAAGAATCTGCCTGCCAATGCAGGAGACACAGGCTGGATCCCTGGGTCAGGAAGGTCCCCTTGAGTAGGAAATAGTAACGTACTCCAATATTCTTGCCTGGAAAATTTCATGGACAGAGGAGCCTGGCAGGCTACAATCCATGGGGTTGTGAACAGTCAGATGCTACTGAGCACGCACTGTGATTAACAGGATGGAGACCACACAAATAATTTGGGGGTGTCTTCCTTCTTGTCCAGGAGTCTGAGTTTTACAACTTTGGCCTGTGAATAACCAGTATCTACATCTGTCTTTATTTTTTGGCAGCGCATGCAGAATGTGGGATCTTAGTTTCCTGACCAGGGACTGACCCATGCTCCCTGCAGAGAAGTGTGGAGTACTAACCATTGGACCACCAGGGAAGTCCCTCTTTGTCTTGTTTTTTAAAATTTTTATTGTATGTTGGAGTATATTGTGTATATTGGATACACAACTCTGTGTCAGTTTCAGGGGTACAGCAAAGTGATTCAGTTACACATACACACACAACCATGCTTTTTCAAATCTTTTTCCAATACAGATTACTTAACAGAATATTGAGGAGAGTTCTCTGTGCTATATGGTAGGTCCTTGTTGATTATTTATTTTATATATAAATATAAAATATTTTATTTTATATATAGTAATAGTACATCTCTTTGTCTTTGAAACAATCAGTATCTGCATCTATTAACAACCTGTATTGGCATCTGTATTAATAAACTGTATTGGCACGCTTTTGTCTCAGGACTTTCTTTGAAGCTAAGACAGAGCCAGGCAGTGAATTCCCCCGTGAGAGAAGCCCTCCACCAAAGATCGCTGGGAAGAGGTGGATGAATTCCCCAGCTCCCTCGCCCCCTCCTTCCAGATTGCTCTGAGATTGAGGTGTGAGTTCCATATAGGCTCCCAGAGAGGTTGAGCCCAGCTGCCCATTGAGGGTAACCTGCTGAACCCCTCATTCTTCCCTGTCTCCACACTCTTGTCCCCCACCCACATTTCCTGGAGTCACTTTCCAGATGAACTACTTGGACCCGAATCCCTGTCTCAGGGTCAATGTGGGGGCACTCCAAACTGAGACAGGAGTATTCCCAGCTCTTTCCTTCCTAGGACAGAAAGTGAAAGTGCTAGTCGCTTAGTTGTGTCGGACTCTTTGTGACCCCATGGACTGTAGCCTATCAGGCTCCTCTGTCCGTGGGATTCTCCAGGCAAGAATACTGGAGCAGGGAGCCGCCCGCCATTCCCTTCTCCAGGGGATCTTCCTGACACAGGGATTGATCTCGGGTCTCCTGCACTAGGAGTGGCTCTTTACCACCAGAGACACCATTCCTAGGACAGAGATGTGTCTGTTAGATTGGGCTAACCTCCTCTTCCACCATCATCAAATGTACATCTAAACACATCGTATGTCCTGGGCAAAGCAATACTTGAGGCCCTCTCTGCTTAGTAGGGCTGATGCAGGAGAAAAACAGTTTAATCAAAAAACGCACACAGAGATTGAACCCATTGGGGGTGTGATGCATTCTTAGACAGAGCAGGCAAAAACAACAGCTCTGAGGGTACGCAGCAGGTAGTGTTAACTCATCTGGGACCCAGGGAGGTTCCCGTTTCAACCTGAGGACTCATGGATGAGCAGGTGGAATCTGATCAGTGGGGGAAGAACTTTCTAGGCAGAGAAAATGGCTGAGACAGACAGCCTGGGGTGGGAAGGCAAATTCAGGGAAGGAAATGGTGCACGGTGGGGATTTGGGTGATGCCATGAAGCTGAAGTGTAGATGGCCCTGCCAAGCAACCCGAAGGAAATTTTCATTCATTTAATTCTATTTTTTTCTCTTCCTCTCCAAATTTTCATGTGGATTTCTCAAACTCCATCCTGTAGATCACCAGTCTATTTTACTTTCTTCTTTCTCAGCAGGTAAAAGCCCTTGTTAAGGGTGTGTGTGTGTGTATGTGTGTGCGCGCGCGCGTGCACGTGTGTGCTCAGTCATTCAGTTGTGTCCTACTCTTTGTGATCCCACGGACTGTAGCTCGCCAGGTTCCTCTGTCCATGGGATTTTTCAGGCAAGAATACTAGAGTGGGTTGCTATTTCCTCCTCCAGGGGATCTTCCCAAACCCACAGATCAAATCCATGTCTCCTGAACTGGCAGGCGGATTCTTTACCACTGAACCACCTGGATAAACATTCCCTGAGTTTTCATTCACTCCCTTTCACAAACATTAACTGAGCATCTAGAGTGTGCCAGGTCTTGGGGACACGAGTCACAGGAATCCCTATCTGTGTGTGGGAGGCTGAGAATAAACCCAGCAAATATGCCAGATGTCAGGGAGATGAGTGCGAGGGAGAAAAGCAGGCCAGGGGAGAGGGCGCGCTGGCAAAGTGGGGCGGGGTGAGGGGAGCGATGACACCCATTTCAGTTAGTAAAGGCCAGCTGCTCTTTCCCGCATGGTTGGGTAGCAGTTCAGTGTTAAGGATGCTCAGACCAGCATCGCCCAGTAGAACTTCAAGAAGAGCCGTATGTTGGACAGAGAGAACAGACTGGAGGTTGCCGAGGGCGGCGTGTTGGAGGAAGGATGGAGTGGGAGGCTGGGGTTAGCAGATGTAAGCTTTTATATACAGAATGAATAAACACTCTCTGTATAGCACAGAGAACTCTTCAATATCCTATGATAAACCATAATGAAAAAGCATATAAAAAAAGAATTATATATATGTATAACTGAATCACTTTTCTGTACAGCAGAAATTAACACAACATTGTAAATCAATTATACTTCGATAAGAAAAGAAAAAAGGGGAAAAAAAGGAAGAGCCTTGTGTGAGGTTTAAAATTTGCCAATAGCTACATTAAGAGTCAAAAGAAACAGATGAAATTAATTTTAATAATATAGTTTATTCAACCAGGTATATCTGAAGTATTGGGCTTCCCAGGTGGCTCAGTGGTAAAGATTTGCCTGCCAAGCACAAGTCATGGGTTCAGTCCTGGGGTCAGGAAGATCCCCTGGAAAAGGAAATGGCAATCCAATCCAGTATTCTTGCCTGGGAAAGCCCATGGACAGAGGAGCCGGTGGGCTATAGTCCACGGGGTCACAAAGAGTCGGACACGACTTAGTGACTAAACAACATCTGAAGTATTATCATTTAAATAGGCAATCACTATGAAAGATTACTCATAAGACATTTTATATATTCT